ACACTGTCCCTGCTCAGGCTGGCACCTGTATTCTGACAGACCCACTATAGACTGGAGGTTCCCACATCACCAGCTGAGACTCTTCCAGGCCAGGCTGTTACCTGTGCTTCTGGCCAACTGGCTGTCAGTTATGAGTTCCCAGGACAACCTCCCCTCAGTTTCAGTTAATTTGGTAGGATGGTGCACATACCTGGGGAAACCCAATTACTCACTAGCTCAGCAGCTTATCACAAAGGACAAGGACATGTATCAGTAGTCAGATCTTGCAAAACTGAAACAGTACACTCATTAAGCAACAATTGCTCATTTCCTCCTCCCCCAACTCCTGGTAGCCACATTCTACTTTCTGTTTCTCTGATTTTGATTACTTAGATAGCTCCTTTATTTGTGAATCACACAGTATTTGTGTTTTTATGACTGGCTCTTTCACTTAGCATAATGTCCAAAGGTACATGCATATTGCATAGTATGATCGATTTCCTTTCCTTTGAAAAGCTGAATGTTTCATTAATGGGTACTATTTATTTATCCATTTGTATGGAAATATATTTTCCTTATCTATTCATCCACCAGTGAAAATTTAGGTTGCTTCCAACTCTTCACTATTGTGAATATTGCTGCAACGGATAGGGATGTCCAAGTTCTAGTGTGTGTGTGTGTGTGTACATATATATGTATATATATGTACACACATATGTGTGTATATGTATATGTATGTATATGCACACACACACACACACACACCAAGAGTGAGATTGTTGGATCATCGGGGAATTCTATTTTTAGTTTTCAAGGAAACTTCATATAGCACCACTGTACATTCTCCCAAAGAGTACACAGTGTCCCTGTCGCTCTGTGTCCTCGTCAGCACTCACTTCTTTCTGTTTTTCTCATTGTGTGCATACTAGTGGGTGTGAAGTTTTGATCTGCCTCTCTGATAACTAGTGATATTGAGAATCTTTCATATATAAGTTGATGATCTGTTTATCTTCTTGAGAATTACCTCAAGTCCTTTGCCACTTTCCAGTCAGGTGACTTGCTTTTGGTTGCTGTTAAGTCGTGGGGGTTCACTGCACAGACTGGCTGTTGACTCCTTACTAAGTATCAGTGGTTCTGTAAATATTTCCTCCAGTTGCACAGGCTAACTTTTCACCTGGTTGGTTATTTCTTTGCTATGCAGAAGTTTCTGAGTGGTATTGTCTATCTTTGCTTTCGTTGCCTTTGTTTTTGGTGTCATATTCAAGAAATTAGTGCCAAATTCAACATCTTAAAGTTTGTCCTCTGTTTTTCTTCAGGATGGTTATAGCTCTTAGGTCTTCTGTTTATGTCTGTAACTCCTTTTGAGCTAACTTTTGCATATGGTCTAAGGTAAGGGTCAGCTTTACTCTTTTGCACACAAATGTCCAGTTTTCCAAAAATCATTTCTTAAAAAGACTGTTCCCCGCTGTGTGCAGCCTCGGCTTGTCCCTGTGGAAGATCATTCGGTCACATATGCAAGACTTTATTTTGGACTCTTTCATTGAGCTGTGTATCTAGCTTTATGTTAGTACCACACCATCTTAATTGCTATTGCTTTGTAGTGTGTTTTGAAGTCAGGAAAAATGGAGCCTCCAAATTTGTTCTTTTTTTGATATTGCTCTTTTTGGGGATCCCTTGAAATTCCATATGCATCTGTCTGATGCTATTTTGATTACTCATTTAGGCCAAGCACACAGAGGGTATTGGATGTTTTCCTTTGCTCCCCAATAGCTTGGAAATAATTTCCACAACTATAAATTCTCTTCTTAATACTCAGCTACAGAGATATATTTAATTACAAATTTGCTTTCATTTTAGTACAGCTGTGAATCATGAATGTTCATACAAAAACACGTGCTTAGCTAGAACAAGCATTAATCAGGATAAACACACAAGCAGACTGTTAATCACATACGATAGAGACCATTTTATAAAAAAATGTATGTAGCGGGAAAACTATGTCATGACTGCACCTGAGGGGAGAAATTCTATGCGGTGAAAAAATAAACAAGGGTGTTAACAGACGTGTGTGTATACACACATATGATGATGGGCTAACTTTACAATGGGGAGAAAAAGAATGGAACATAACTGAAATACTGTTTCAAATGGCTTGGGTCATTCTTATTTTGTTAATATGCAAAATGAATTTTTGTAGCACACGTTGAAAATGCATCTATGAAAGAACATAAATGTACAAATTAACATCTTATTTTTACATTAATTATATTCAAAGACAGGAAATGGTATACTCTGATTCACATTGAGCAACTCAGCATTAATTCATTCAGGTACTTAGGGGTTTTGTCATGTTTGTATATTTACTTTTATATTGCACAGGATGTCATAATACACAGAGTTCAGTAGACTAAATCCCAAGTCAATATTTATAGAAGAATGACCAAGGGGTACATTTTGATTCCTCTGGAGTAGTTAGATGGCTTAATAGCCATAGAGTGGTCACTCACACACACATACACAGGTGAGTCTCTCCTAAGTAAATCTGGAAAAATGTAAAATTTTCTTTTTAAATCTATTTCAAGTAAGCTTTACCAAATATTTAATGTTGTTCTCACAAGCACTCAGTGATAAGTGCTAAAAGCTGACTATAGTGAAGTAATGGGAAATGAACAAAGTTTATTTATTGTAGTTTTATTTGTTCTTTGCTTCTCCCATTTAATTCTGTTAGAATCCCAACATCTCCGAGAGTGCCTAGCAACAAATTCATGTGCAGGAGTCAAACAAATACTAATAAGAGATATTATTAAAGACGAAGATAGAAATGGATCCCACATGCCTAGACCCTAGAATCAGATGCAGCTAAAATTCCATTGTTCTACTGAGACTAGACACTAAGTACACTTTTCAATTGGAAATTAAATATTAGTTGAAGAGGAATTACCCTCTGGGATCTGGGCATGCCAATCCCACATCATCGAATGTTCACCCAATCTTAGTTCACTCAAGTAGGATTTGGGTCAATAAGGCACCGGTTCTCGGTGACAGCTCAGATTAAGGATAGCTGCCTGCCATCTTTCCAGAACCATTCGTAGGTATCAAGGACCACTCAAACTCATGCACACTTAACGTATTCTTCAGTACTCTGTTATACACATGATGTCCTTATTACAAGGGACGCGGAGAAAAGTGTCACTGTGGCTGGCTTGGGGCTGCAGGGTGGGGCACGTGGATCACCCATGTAGGAAACTTCTCTTCTGCAAGTTCCTGGATCACCCACATTTGAAGCATTTCAAAGTCAGCTTTTGCCCGTGACCTTGGCAATGATCGCGCGTGGTGAGCACTCTCCTCTAGGGGCAATCTTTAGTCCGGATGCTCCCATAGCTGCCCAAGACTTCCAGAGCTGCGTCCCAGTCCGCTGCTTTTCTGTTCATTCGTCCCGCCTTCCTTCTGTCCTTTTACAAGTGCTGGGGGTTCGCCCATCTTCTTGGTCTTTGCAGGCATTGCTTCTAATAAATGTGTTGTCGGATGTGGCTGTGGTGAGCTTTGGACTTTAAGAGGGTTGATCTCTTTCTGCTCTCACTTCACATCATGCATTTGTGAATAAGTGGTATAAAGCATGGCTACACAATGCTGACCACCACTTGATGTCCATTTGCTTTAACCACGGCTGGGCTCGGGAAGTTTCAGAGACATTTCTTGAGAGCAGCCTTGAGCAGCACTGCCCCGCTGAAGCAAAACAGCCCTTTAGGGTGGGGGCCCAACTCGCCCCATCCACTAGCCTGCCTGCTGAATCTGCGTCCACACTGACCAGGGCTTGCCACAGGCCAGCTGGGAGTGACCGGCGGCCATCATGCCTTCTGCTCTGAGCAGTCTGCTCCTCAGCATTCAAGCTCAGCTTAAACTCCCTTGCAGCCTGGTTCGGTCGTTATCCTGTACATTTGCACCTCAACGCCTCGGCTGGTATCCAGCGTTCTGCCTTTATAAGCAGCAGCCTCTTGAAGGCGTCTGACCTCGGCGGTGTGAGCGCAGGAGCCTGCCAGCTCAGTGGATGTGCCGCAGGTCTTCCAGGCACCCAACCTGCAATTCCAAGGGGCCCGCGGGCCCTTCACATGGGGGTTTCGCCAGCGTGGAAGTCAGTCACCGTTAACTGAAACCAGAATTATCTTTTTTAAAAAAATTCGGCCCACTACCAGAGTTTACTTATTTATATATTTTTATGGTGGGTACACTGGTCTTTTCAAGTTATTTCTCTCATTCAGCTTTGCAGCTTGAGTGTAACTTCCGTAGGAAAGGTAATTCACCTGGGAAGATGAAGTTGGCTAGAGCCAAAATGGACACAAATGTGCTTATATTGGGGAAGGTCAGTAAGCCTGTTAGTTTACGTTGAGCAAGATCTTTGGGCCTTTGTCTCTTCAGCGTCTGAAACAGGGATGAAAGGAAATCTCTGCGGCTTGAGCCAATCAGCGAGCTGTTGCTCAGGCATCGCTTCGTTTGAGGGCGGGGCTGCTTTTCTTTGGAACGGAGGATTTTTTTCAAATGTGTATTTTCATTCAGACTCAACCTTCACCCCTTACTATGACTTTGCTAATTCCATTTGGCTTAAACCGGAAGAGTCCCTGGGCGTTGCGCACTCCTGGCCTCTGCCTTTAAAGCGTTATTCACGGACCTTCCTTACAGCTGAATTTCCAGGATTACTAATGACAGTCAGCAGTCACCAGCGTCTTCAGCGCGGGGGCCGCGTTGCCCACAGCTGCGCCCACGCGCCGTGGAGACGGACTTAGCGAACCCCGAGCTTTGCTGCAGGTCTATCCGGGATCAGGAGGACCCCGCTGACCGGTTGACGTTTTTTAAGAGCTGGTTTTTATTTCTTAACTGGTCCTTCTGGGCTTTGAGTTGTGAAAACCTTCATTGATTCTCCAGTTTCCACTACAGACTGTTTCATTCTCGGGGAGCTGAAGAGGCCATCCCTGGAAGCAGAGACGCAGCCGAGGGAAAGACGCGCGGTGGGGGCCGGGTGCCCCCTACCAGGGCGGGTGCAGCCTGCCGGGCGGGAGGGGCCGGGTCAGGTAGCACTGCTGCCTGTGGAACCCCGATTTGTCCTTGCCATCGATCAGTATGATGGGAAAATACCTGTAGTGCTCGATGATGTCTTCCACAGAGTCGAACTTCTGAAACACAGGGTGGGACGTTAATGGAGACCTGGGCAGCGTCTGCGTGGGGCGACAGCGGAGGCTTACGGGGCTTCGTTTCACCAGGGAAGGAAGGGGTGAACGCATTTAGAATGCGATTGTAAAGGGAGTCAGAAAGTGATTTTTTGAAAGGATGTGGCAAACAAGTCAAGGGCGGATGAGTGATAAGGTGACGAGAACAGGGGAGAATCTAGGCCTGGGGGGACCCGAAGAGCTCTAGAGCGACTTGTGAAACCTCCCGCCTGCAGGTCCTCACCGCATTCAGGCCAGTAGGTCCACTCTGGGGTCCCCCCAACGTTGCTCTCGGGAGCGGTCCCACAGCCCCTTCCACACAGCGGCAGCTGTGGGAACCCAGGAGGGTGCCTCCCCTTGTCCCCAACCGTGACAAACCAAGTGTCGAAGCCCAAGCTCAGGCTCCCCATTACCTGGTAAACTGGGGCAAGGCCTGCAGTGGGCTCCCCCACCCCCGCCCCGCTTCCCAGGGGTTCTATCCAGCACCTGCAGAAAGCAGCCAGCATCTGAGTGTTTGCATGAGAGCTCGGAACGCTGGGAGAGCGCCAGGCCGGCGGCTGCTGCTCCAGCGGCCACTTCCTCCCGCCTGTGCACCCGCTGGCCCCTGGTCCTGGCAGTGCCGCCCCGTGGCAAGTCAATGGAGAGCTAGATGATGCCCATGTTAGGGAATCAGATGCAGACTGCTGTCGGCACGCTGGATGGCTGGGGAGGGCTCAGTATATGACGCTCAGAGGAAGAAGCGTGAGCAGGCGGGTGTCGAGATGGGAATTCGGAGGAATGTAGTGGGGTGAGTTCCGGAAGGGGACATGGGAGATAACTGAGAAGAGTTTCAACAACCCGCCCTGTGTGTCCTGTGGACACCTTGATTTGGGTTTTTAGCCTCTGGAATTCGGGGGGAATGTATCTATTATTTTAAACCATCCAGTTTGTGATACTTTGCTGCAGCAGCTACATTTGAATTCAGACCTGAGTTTCTAGCCACATGCTAATGGGGTGACCCCAAATTCCTCATGCAGCAAAGCAAACCTGCCCGTGCTGGCTCTCTGTAGCTTCTGTGGGTGTCCTGGGGGCCTCATCCACCTCCCTGGACCCCAGTGTGAGCTCTTCCTGGCCTGTGGGGTGCGGGACCAGACAGGAACGAAGCACCTCGATGAACCCCATGGGCCTAACTAAGCCTCTATGCGGCTGGTGCTCTATTCGGTCACCTCATTGGCAACAGAACAATTCCTTTAACCCCGGGGACCCTCCATTCTAATCTGCAAGGCCATCACAGCCACGCAAGTCAAACATACCCTTGAAAACCCTATTGCTCACTAGCTTTTCCTCTGCAGAGTTGAGCAAGATGGGAGCAGCTGGCTAGCCTGCACCAGCGCCCTGCCCTAACAATTCTGCTGTCTGCTTTGAAATTGCCGCGTCTTTCTCAGCAAGACAAAGGGCAGTGAAAGGCCCCAGAGACCAGGACAGAGGTCCGACCAGGGACACAGCCTCTGGAAGGCAGGAAGAACCGCCTGGGCCCCAGATGGCCTCACGCAGTGCCAGGCACGGAAGCAGCTCCTTGCCGGTCACTGTCCTTCAGCCCACACGCGGGCTGTTTTCCAGTGGGCGGGACTGATGGCCTCTGCTGTGATGCTTTCAGAGAGGTGCACGAGTGACTGTTTTTGCATATGACCCCGAATCTCTGGGTCCTTTTCTCCCAAAGGGTCAGGTGCCCCCATAAGCCTGTCACTTTGGGGTGAGCTACAGACCCATCAAGGCCCTGAAGGCTCACGTTCTGTCCCATTATGTAAAGAGCAGAGGGCTTGGGGTGAGAGCAGGGAGGGCCCTGGAGGCTGAAGAGAAGTTTCTCTCCTTTCTGAGTCCGCTGCCCTGCTCCTAATCTGACAAACCGCCGCCGCTACCCTTTTATGACCTAAGAGGATATAGTTTTGGGGGTCTCATGTAGGGTGGGGCCATCAGGGAACATGTACCCCCAGCATCTCACCTTTACTCATCTTTACAAGTCAGAACCACTTTCAGCCATTTTGAGCAGTTCCAAGGTGGGTCACCCCCTTACTGTCTGTCAGATGAAGTGCCCCCCCGTACTCTAACCATGGCACGAACAACCCGGGTCTGCCCCCCTGTTCTTCAGAATGCACATCCACACGCAGCTGCTGAGTTGGCGTTTCCCTGCCTAACGCGTGCGGTGTTCCTTCAGGGACTCGTCCAGACCCAGGGCCCAGAGGGCTGGGGGTCGCCTCCCTTTGCCCCGACAGTGTCCAGCTTTGCCAAGCCTTCGCTGGGATGCGGTCAGGGACTTAACCTCTCTGTGACCGTTCACCCTCTGCCGCCTGGGCAGCACGTCTGTCATGGGCGGCCTTCGGGCTCCAATCCACCAAACGGCTACTGACGGCGAAGTGCACCGCACAAGGCGAGCAACTCAAACACCAAACACGCTGCAAGCGTCTCGCGGAACATAACACTCCGCAAAGACACACGAAAAAGGATCTCTGGGGGTGCCTGGGAGGAGGAAGCGCTGTCACAGCCCCCCAAGACTCTTCTTAAACAGGCACTTAAATGCCCCACCTGTTCACCGTCTGACAGCTTCCTCACTGCCCACAGGGCATCTCCGCTGGGTCCTTCCCAGAGTCTGGGGGCTGGGGTCGGGGCGAGTGGGTCAAGCGTGAGCATGAATGTCACGGTGTTTCCCTGTGAGTTGACATCGGTGGTTTCCACTTTCTACAATCTCCAAGGAAGTGCAATCCTTAAACCCCAAAATGAAAATACATGGGACGCTCGTTTGGTTCAAGGAGAAGTTCTGCGAGCCGGGTGAAGCGAGGCGGAACCGCCAAGCTCTGGAAGCTTAGGCCTGACAACCTTAGAGGAAGCTAAAGCCGCCCGGCCCAAGGCGACCGGACCTTGAGGCCGGCTTCCTCGCTCCCTTCCCGAGCTAGCCGAGCTCCCACTGCCTCCACTTACCACCCTGGGTCAGTGGCTGTTGACTTGATTTTCTGAGCCCCACTTTTTAACCCAAGGCGGGGTAACTGCACACCAAGGAAGGACTGAGGGTGAACAGGAGCTGAACATCAGTGTCCTCACTGCTTCTCCCTGATGGGTTACACACTGCTCATGGACGTTTTTGCTGGTCAGAGCTGGTTTCAGCTAGCGGGAACCAGGGTCAGCTGGTTTCTGTTTCAGTTGGCGTGAACAAGTCAGAAGCAGATTCAGCCATGCTCAGCCAGTCAGAACCAGTTTCGGCCTGTTTGACTAGTCAGAACCAGTGTCAGTTGGTGTCATTTTCAATCGGTTTTAGTTACTTCAACAAGTCAGTACCGATCTCAGCCCTGTCGAGCAGTTCCAAACAGCTAAAACTAGTCCGGCCCGGTTCAATGTGGCTCCAACTGGTTCTGGCCAGTTCAAACCTGCTGAGACTGGCTCTGGCTGGATAAAACGGATTCTGACCAGTTCTTACTGATTCTGACTGGATAAAGCAACTAAGCAACTGGCTTGAACGGGTCTCATATGACTGGAACTGGTTTGAACCAGTATCAGCCAGTCTGAACTGGTTTCAGCTAGTCTGAAACTGATACTGGCTCTGACTGGCTGAAACGGGCTGAAACCGGTCCAGACGTGTTCAAACCAACTGAAACTGAAACCAAGTGATAATGGTTCTGACTGGCTCAAAATGGCTGAAGCCGGCTGCAACTTGATTTGGCCAAAACAGGTTAAAACAGTTCCGACTGGCTCAAGCCATGAGAAACCGGTTCTGAACACAAAAACAAGTCTGGCTGTCTGAAAAAGGCTGACTATGTGCACACCACTGAACCTGAAGCCCACACCGTCACCGAAGCCGACGAACACTGGTTCTGACTCGCTCAAAATGGCTGGAGCCAGTTCAGACCCGTTCAGACCAGCCGAAACAGGCTCAAGCCACTTGCCGACTCCCCGGTTAGTGTGCCTGCATGGAGGGTGGACGTGCTGTGGCACTGCTGGCGCGGTGACGGCAGTCAGCGGGAAGGCAGACCTATCGCTGCTAACATGCAGATGCGGTCAGAGGCGCCCCGGTGGGAGCTCAGCTCAGGGGTGGTGAGGGGAGATGGTCTGAGCAGGGCTCCCTGTGGTGGTATTTAGAGGCGTCCAGTGGGCAGCTTTCCGAGATGTCAGAGGCAGCAGGCAATTAGCGCCTGTCTGCAGTGGAGGGCAGTGGGGTGTGGCGTGGACGGGCGGGCTGTGGGTCCTGTCAGCTGACCTGGTCAGGCAGGGCCTGTGTTTTTGCCGAAGGGCTGGAGGGACACAGCATATCCCCCCAGCAGGGCGGTGCCCTTCCCCCTCATTTACGGTCCCCAGCCTGGGGAGGGCAAGCCTCCGGGTCATACCCACCTCATCTCCTCTGAGGCCTGTCCCCAGGGCAAACTGCTGGTTCTTTTCAAGGAAACGGATCTTCACGTTGTAGACTTTGTTCCCGTAAAACACCACCAACACGTAGGGCTCTGCTCTGGATTTGCTGGAACAATCTCGGACCAGGAAAGTGCCGTCCTGAAGCAAAGGGGAGAACAGTGACCTTCCCCGGCGAGCGCCCCCCCTTCCTCTGGCTGCAGGGGTGCTGCCTGCACCCAGCTGCAAAACAGCCTCCGAGGCATCGCCGGCAGTGGGCGCTTAGCGCCTGTCAGTGCCCGCCCGTCCGCAGAAGGGCTCTTGTTATTTGCTGGGAAGAAAGCCGGTCACCCCCTTCTTGCCAATCTCCCCCCACCCCGCCGTGCCCAGTGAGCCGCCTGCAACCTCATGGGAGGTTCACGGTCGCTGCTCAGCTGTCTATGGTTTCACCTCCCGTCCTCCCGTCCTCCCGTCCTCCCTCCTCCGCTCTTGTCTCTAGCCAAGCAACGTCTCCCAAAGGCTTCTGGGCCCTCAGCTTTAGGGTCACAGCATTTTGCCACCTGGAGGAAGACCCCTCCCCAGCAAGCTGCCATGTTTGCACCCTCCTGTTCTGCCTGAAGCGCAGGTCACTCCTGAGAGAGTGGGGGCCACAGTTTCTTGAGGGAGGGGAACTTAGCACAATAGGGGCTGTGTGGGCAGTGTCCATGCTGGGCAGGGCTTTATGGGGCCTTGAAGCCAGGCTGTCAAGGTGAGTGGAGAGGCCGCGGGAAGGCTTAGGGGCGGGCTGGGCAGACGTGGGGAGCCTGGGCTGAGCTGCAGCGAGTGTGGGTGAGGATAAGGAGCCAGAAAGCGGCTTGCGAGGCTGTAGAGAGGAAACCCCAAAGCTTCAGGGCCCAGGGGCCCAGCTGGGGAGGGCGGGTGCATGCGTGCGCTCGCCGGAGGGTGGTCAGCGAGGACCCTGCGGCTTGTAGGTGAGCCGAGACCGGCCGGGCTGTGGAGACGCCCGGCCCCCGCACCCACACCCCGGCTGAGCTCTGCGGCCGTGGCTCGGCTGTTACAACGCGGAAAACACCGACACGCAGGCCGAGGCAGCGGCCACTGCGCCGGGGCCGGTTCCCCGAGGCGGGAGGGAGGGCTGGGGCGCCACAGCCGTGATCCCGGTGCTGTGTGGGCGCACTTCACAGAGCCCCGAAAACGGTTATGCTTGGACAGTCGCTTTATCGTCCTCTGTGGGGCACATTTACAGACGTGGCTGATGTTTGTATGTACGCAGGCCCGGCTCCGGGGAGTAATGGTGATGACGCCACGTGACACGGACTTTACGCGTGACGGGGACGCTGTGAAGCCGGCAGCTGGGGGTCCCTGAGAACGGGCCTCAAGTCGCCCGACACGTGACACGCGTTAGCTCGTGGAGCTTTACGTGGGCTGCGAGGAGGTGACTCGCCCCCATTTTACAGGTTGGGGACTCAGGGTTCCGTGAAGCCCTCGTGTTTTGTGGCCAGTCAGTAGAACACTGAAAAGCAAAAACCAAACTGTTGCTCTCTAAGTAAACCAGGCTTCGGGGACATCAGGTGGCCTCGCTCACTCTCTGGGTCGTGCGCTACCACAGCGCTCAGTAGGCTACTGAACCCTTAAAACTCGAGCCCGGAACATGGTCTGGACGAGAACGGGAGGAGCAGGGCCCTCCGGCCTGGACTCCCCAGCACGGACGCCGCCGCCGACCGCCACCAGGAGGCGGCCGGCCTGCTGTGCAAACTGCACCCCCTTCCACGGATGCGAAACACACTTCCACAGAACAGACAACCCGAAAGGAAAATATGAATCCATTCATCTGGGCTCCGCTTCCTCCATGCACGGTGTGAGCAGAGGCTTCGCTCGCTGCCACTGAGGGGAGCCTGAAGAGGCCCCGAGTCGTGCATGCAGGGGCAGAGGCCCCGAGTCGTGCATGCAGGGGGCAGTGCACAGCCCTCGGGGCAGCAAGCCTGCAGCAAACAGAACAGGCGGGACGGCGTCTGCTCTGAGCCACGGAGATCTGGGGCTGTGAGTCAGCCCCGGGGAGGGGAGGGCGCCCCGGCCAGCGCCGGGCTGCGCCCGCGTGATACCATGCCGTGGCGGGGCCGAGATGGCCGAGAAGCTGATCACAAGCTCTGGGGGTGGGAGGTGACAGATACCAAGAACATCAACTCCAATGTGCTGTTCGGTGGCTGTCTGCTTATGACTATTTCGGCTTAATGTATTATAAAAAGCCTGCTCGAGCTGAGAGGGCAGAACGTCTCTCTGCTCTTCAGATCAAATAAGAGTCCCGCTTTTGATCTTCAGAATGTTTCCTCAGACTTGACTCTGCTATTTTCATCTACCAGAGAAACCTGCCCTTAACGCTGTTCAGGAGCCCGTGGGGGTGGCGTGGCCGAGCGGCGGCACGAGCCAGTCTCAGACCCAGAACTCGGCCTGAGGTCCCCCTTGCCAGGACCCCTCCCCGCCCTGGGAGACACAGGCGAGGCAGGAACCGGGGCGCCTCGCGCCCCGTGATGCCCATGGCCCAGGGAAGGCCAGAGATGGGGCCCCATGGCAGCGAGGGGGCCTGGCAGGGGCGGGGGGGGGGGCGGCTCACCCTGTTCTCCTTCATCAGCGCCTCTTCCACGGCCTGGCGACTGTATTCCCCAATGTACCACTCCTTGCGGGGAGCATCCTGCCATCCAGGCTGTGGTAGCTAAGATGGGCGAAAGACAAGTGTCATTCACTGAGTCGTTCCTGAAAATGGACTTTGGTCCCGTGTGAAACCACAGTCTGAGCTACTGTACAGAGTCTGTACAGAAGTCTCATCCTGAACCTGGAGAAGCAGAGCTCCGGGAGGTGGACACAGAAACAGCAACCGCAGCTTGGAAGCAAAGCCACTGACCGGCGTGTCCACCGTGGAAGGCCCCCATACGCCACCCCACCTGCGGAGGCCCTCCTGCACCGCCCTCCGCGTAGCCATGCTGGCCAAGGCTGCCCCTGCAGTGGCCAGGGGAAGCCCGTGCCGTCGGCTGGCCTGGCTGCAGAGCGGGCGGGTCAACGAGATGCCCCACTTCTGCATCAGCCCTCCGTGAGTGCTGTGGCAGGGGCCCGAGGGGACGAGGATCTGGGCGGGGCGCCCGGCGGCGTGTCCCTGTGACTGACAGAGAAGGGCTGCCACGGGTGGCGTCACAGGGGAAGACAGAAGGGACGTGGCAGCCACCGAGGGACGCTGCTGTGTCCCCTGAGCAGATGGGAGGGCCCCGTCCCGGGCAGGCTCACTGTAGGGGCCCGTTTGAGGAGGAGACGGGCAGAGACCAGGGCGGCCGAGGACGCGTCCCTCGCCAGGCCCCGCGCCCGCTCGCCTTCTCCGGCCTCGGCGGTGAGCTCAGTAAATGGTCGAGGTGGAAAACACGAGTGTGGGGTGTGTGGCTCTTTTGCCGGCAAAGCAAACGAAGTATACAAATCCCACGGTGGACGGGCTCATCGCACACCTACATTTCCCTGTTTTTGGGTGAGTGGGAATGACACCACTCGGAAAGGCGCCCGCCAGAGGCCCGGCAAGACCGCAGAACGCGCCGCGGGCCGACTCCACAGACACCGAGCTCAGCGCGGGCCGCCGCAGGCCGCCCGCTGGGCACCGTCCAGCCAGCTCCCGCTCGCTGAGCTCGCGTGCGCGAAGGCGCCAGAGTCCCTACCTTGTCCTCACACCTTGCCGGGGAAGGTCTTCTCCAGCTTGCGTTTTTGTAGCACAGCAGGCTCTCGGGGTCCTTGCGGCTGGCGGGAGACGGACATCTCTGAGGGGCACAGAGCTGCGCGCCCTCCTCACGGGCTGCGGAGAGTTCGGCGGCATTTGGAGCCGGTCTTGTCCCGGTCTCGGGTTTCCTGGCCCCTCCACCGGGCGCCTAGGCCCGCCACTCCTCCCCCTGTCGTGGCACCTTCTGGGCACCATCCCGCGGCCATCTGCGAGCCCCAGACCAGCCCCACCCGGCCCTGCCATTGGGCTTTGCTTCAGCTACTCCCAGGCGCCTGGGGTAAGTCCTCCCACCATTCCTGGGCACAAATCCCGACATTTGCTTTCCATCAGTAAGGCCCTGGGCAATCTTGGAGTTTCTCTACCCGTCTCTCACCTCCCATTGCCCTGCTCTGCCCCCAGTGGACACGGTTCAGTTTCTTAAATAAGTCAAGTTCTTTCCCAACTCAGGAAACACCGTTTTTCTTAACTGAAAAGAACTTTCTGTATTCGTGAAAGAACATTTTTTTTTTTTTAAACCTGGAAGAATAACTGGCAAACAGTGGTCACTGAGACTGGGCATCTGCTCCGTTTTATTTAAAAAGAACAAAGTTGAGTTTGTCACTTTGTGGAAAACAACTGGCAATATTTGTTGCCAATTATAAAATGAGACTTTCAAATGCAAACAGGAATTTAGAAAAACTTGCACCTGCCACTGGACAGACCCAGTGGTTGACTTTTTTTTTTTTTTAAACAAGGTAGGTGGTCCGGTCTTATTTGCAAATGTGATTTTACAAATATTATATATAAAAGTCCATAAACACTGGCGAGGTCTGTTCAGGTCTGTGAATCATTATTCCTCAAGGGACCCAGGCAGGGCACTAGCAAGACATCTAACAGTAGAGACCATGCGATCTCACATGGCACCCAAGCTTTAAGGTAATGTTCTGTGTCGAGTCTGATGTAGTGTTTTCTCTGGATACTTCAATGAAAGCAACACATTTCCACTGCAAGCCATTCCAGAAAATGCTAATGAGAGTTTCAGGAAATTAACACCACAAGGAAAGAAGCCTTGGAGGAATGCTAAGGAAAGAGACCCCTAATATATTGGCGATGTTAAGCAAGGATTAATTACATCAAGAAAATCAGAAAGGGGCCCTCCCTCATGGCACAAGGTGTAAAAGCGTAGCACTATGAAGCTATTGGCAGCCAAGAACTAGGGTCCAGGCCAGAGGTGTGTGTGGGGGTGGTGGTGAGAGGATCCCCCAGAGACAGGGTGGGGAGCAGAACAGGCAGATGTACTGACATACCTTGCTGAGGGGAGCAGCGGGCGAGACAGGAGAGGTCTGCTGCACCATGTGGGTCACCGCCTTGGTCAGGAATTGGACTCATGCTGCGGTAGCTGCTGATAGCTTTAGCATGTTGCACCACCAGGGTGGGCCCAATAAATAAATCTTTGAAAAAATGAAATAAATCATAAAGGTTTGAGGGCATCAAAACAATATGGAAACATGTTCTGGACAATAATACCATCTACGGTGGCTGAAGATGTTAGTGTGAGGGCGGAATGCTAAGCGAGCTCACCTTAGTCAGCCTTGAAACAGACCAAAGTTACACTCCTGGATGGCAACTTAACCAGAACTTTGAAGAAAATGGATGCTTGTGACAGAGCATTTTAGGTGGCCAAATACTACCGGAAATATTAGCCATATTCACATGCTGGTGCCGTGACATTTAGATCAGCTGTATGTTTGTTCTGCTACTTGGCTTCTGAAAGCCAAGTTTTTCTCTTAAGTTTACTGAGGAGAACAAAAACGACTCCCCAAGTTTTGAAAGTGTTAGTTTAATGGGTCCACGCTTCATGCGTGACTTAAGGGTGCCTGTTGGGAAATTTTGTGATTCAAATCAGAAGTTGCCATATATGACAACTGTCCAATCACTGAAATTTAAAAATATTCGTCATAGCAAGCTGACTTCATGCACCAGCTTGTGATCTTGAAAGCTGGAAGAATGTTAAAGACGTCTCTCTCTTAAAATGTTATGTGTAAGTTAATGCGCTTCATTTCCCAACAGACTGCTGAGTCCATACTTTACAATAGAAGCCTCTAGGTCTTTTCCATTGTTTGGGAAGGGGGTGTGAAGTGTATATTTTTAAAATTCAGGTATGTTTTTATTTAAAAAGTCGAGCCACTAAACCATAATGAATACAAAGGTGTGGACGTAGTAGGGAACACTCAGACGTGGAGCCAGGTGTGAAAGGCCCAGACGTGTGCAGGTGTGCGGTCACCGATATAGCACGGCGAAAAGGCGGGGCCCAGCGCCAAGTGAATCCTGGCAAAGGACAGCTAAGTGTCACAGTGCTTAAAAAATGAGTTTAGGGCCCTCCCTGGTGGCGCAGCGGGTTAAAGCGCAGCACCAAGAAGCTAAAGCCACTTCAGCATGAGTTCAATTCCCACCCTGGAGGTGACCCCCAGGGCGCGCAGACCCCTCCTGGCCCGCCCGCTGCTCCTCTCAGCAGTGTACTTCGTCCATCTGCCTGTTCTGCTCCCCACTCTGTCTCTGGTGAATCCTCTCATCGCCCCTACGCCTCTGGCCTGTACCCCAGTTCTGTGTGCATAAATAAATGAATCTTAAAAAAAAAAAAGGGTTCAAACTGTAAACTGTGCTGAAACAACACAGCGAGACTATCCCTGCAACAGCCGAAACTATTCAAAGCGGTGAAAGGACAGGCCGTGTTGGGAGGAGAAGCGAACCTTCATCCAAGCCCCTATGATGCAGCTTGTACAGATGAATACCCAGGGCCCTGAAATTATGACTTTTCCATGCTATTGTGACAACGGACTTAATATATTTCAATATTCAAGTGCCTTGCTTGAATATTCAGAAAGTCCAACTTGAACAAAAGCACTTGGGAACAGCGATTCGCTTATGTAGTCTATTCAGAAAGTGAATTAAATGAAATAAAACACCCCCCCCCCAATTTCCCCCTGAGGTTTTGATGGGGCCTTTGTTGAATGAATCCGAGCAGGTAACGCGAGTCTGAGGCGCTGCAAGTAGTTGATTGATTTTGCTCTGAAATGATGGCAGCTAATGTTTGAGAAATGTTCGTGACTCGAGCATTGCTCTTGGGTTTCAGGGGCTCCTTGACTAACCTGCCCTACCTGGACATGGGAGCGTGGCAGGAGGCGATCTGCCGAGCAGTGGAGGCCCGCTGGGGAGGTCTGTGTGGTGCTAATACAGCTGCCGCAGCGCAGCCTCATCACCACGCCACCTGCCGTGGTGTCCCCTGGGGCGCGTCAGTGACTACTGTTTTACATTTCCTCAGTGTGAAAGGCCTTCGCGCAGTGCCGCGCCATGTCTGATCCTCCCCGCCCCCCGGAGGTGCTGCTGCAGGGGGTGGAGACCCCTCCTGCTCTGAGGGCAGAGCGGTTGAGGGACGTCCACACGCGTCCGGACGCGGCTTACCAGCACCTGTAATGCGCTCCTCCAGACCATTTGCAAAATAACGTTACAGGAGTCAGAGCCCTGCAAACACATGTACCGAATGCACACAGAAGACACTTCTGAGCACGAATGCAAAGCAGGAAGGCGCAGCCACGCAGCACAGCAGAGCTGGGCCTTTCGGGGTCCTCTGCTGTTTACCTTTCGGCGTGAAGTCCATCTGTTCCTGTCCTGACAGCTGAGCTGGACTCACTGATCACATCACTACGCCCCTCGTTATCAAGCGGTAACTGCGTCTCGGGTGTACCCTGAGCCCCCAGACTGCTCCGTCACTGGGAACGGGGTGGGGGGGCGCACGGGAGCGGGCGCTGACTACATGGCTGAGGCGGGCTCAGAGCCCCCATGAAGGTCGCTCAGGAAGTGGGAGGCGCCTGCCAGGTGCTTAGGCACAGGTCAGCAGAGGGCAGGGGTGTCTCTGTTCTGTATTCTCAGGGCCAAGCCCAATGTTGGGTACCAACCAGGGCCTTGCACGGTTTTACTTCCGTATCAATAGACTTGAAGGCTCTGGGGGCCAGCGCTTTCTCCCTGTCCAGACCTGGGGCTCCTCTAAGCACTTCTGTCCCCGCGAGGAGAAGCTGTAAGACCACACACAAACTGTCGCTCTGGCCCTGGGCGCGGGGCTGGGCGCTGGACGTGAGGGCCGTCCACCTCACTGACATGCCCCTATTGCACTTTATTTTTCATTTGGGCATGATTTTGTCTCTCAAGTTCAGACTCTGGACACCTTTCTAAGTGATGACCCTGCTGCCTGTCCCTGGGACAGTCTCAACCCCTCACTGGCTCTGCCCTTTCTGGGTTGTTCAGTCCATGGACGTTCCACCCCGACTGCCTAGCCTTTAAATCTTCGCACCCCGGGTCCAGCATCTGGGATGCTGTTCCTGACATTTGGAGGTTGAGCCCAAATCACGGCCCCCTTTGCTCACCTCCACTTGGGACACTCACTAGCAACGTGTACATCAGGGCGAACGAGCCATTTCCTATCAGCTCTCCTGCCTATGACCTACATGAGAGAGAAGGAAGGACGTGGTCGAAGAGGGAGGAGTCTCTAATGGTCAGATGGAGTCACCTGGCCAGGGAATCCCGGCCACAGGAAAGGGATGGAGGAACGGTAAGATGCGTCCATCGTCTGTGACGTGTGACTTGGAGAGTGTGTCGATCTCGTGAGTTAACCTGACTCTAAGTGTCTTATGAAAGGGGGCTGGAAGTTCCAGGAACTAAGTCGCTTGAGCTGATCCTGCTGTAGGGAGCGAAGCAGACGTGGGGTCCGGAGGCCTGGACGGGCTGACACAATGCACCTACTTTGCAAATCCCATGCCGACCCATGGAACGGACACAGTGCCACCCTGCAGTGTCACTTGAGAAAAGGACTTTGGTTGTGCATGGGCAGGTGCTGTGCAGGCAAAGTGATGCCCCAAGAAAAGGGTGGAGATCACCCAGACGATGTATTGAATGATGATGAAACGACGTCACGCTAACACAGCAAGGTGCTCTCCATCAGTGACAGTGGCCTGGTCACGTCTGGACATACCAGCTCAGCGACACTGGGGCCTGAACGCTCTGTGATCTGAGAGCTGAGTCACAGAGCAGGAATACGGTCACGGGATGATTTACCTGGTAGGTCTGATTCTTACCTAAGGCGCTCTTACCCCTCCTCTGGACACTGTCGTTGCTCGTCAAGACTGAAGAGCTACAGGAAACGGTAGAATTGAAGGGTGTTAGTGTTTCCTGCCTCGGTAAGATGCCACCCCGATACTAGGCCATGGTGACGGCCAAGGTCACGTGGACAAAGTCCCTTAGGTGCGTGGAGGAATCCTGTGCTCTGCCAGGCAGAGAGGCTTGTTCTTTCTCCTTGTTCTCAAGGTGAACAAGCCCAAGGACACACTACTCCCCTAGAACCCCTTCCCTGAGTAGTCATCGTGATTCTTCACCCCGGAAGCCACCGGCTTCGACTTGCCTCATAACTACTGTTACTTTAGAAAGTGGTGGTAGCTGGTTGGGGCTCACGGTCCGCAGAGACTGACCCATGGAAGGAGACTCAGTCAGGGCCACAGCGACAGAGTCATTTTATTCCTTCTTGAAGTGTGAGCGAGGTGAGGGAACACTGTGGCTGACTATAAGGAAATCAATAACAGAAGGAAATTTTCATAACTAATCAAAGACAACCCGAAAAACAAGCTGCCTTTCTGGCCTCCACAGTAAAGTCATCCGCTGTTCCTCTTGGCAGGCCTCTCGATGCTGAGCCTCACTTCACACTTTGCTCTAATGTTCTGGTTCAGCCTGTGCTGTGGTCGGCCCTGCCAGGATGCCTCCAGGAGCTGCTACAGTTTAAACCTAGTTACGCGGGCCCAGTGCTGTTCCAGGGGCAACGCTGTTGACAAACTGTTGGGCACTCTTCCACACCAATGGAATCAGCTGAATATTTACATGGGTCTTGTCATTTGCCTGAGTATTTTCGTGGGTCTCGTCATTTCCATGAGACCTGGGGTCTCAGGCTTGCTGTAGGATACGTGTCGAAGCGAGCGCTTGCTTTGGAGGGAGATGCTGGCGGGTCACTCACACTACCTGTGCTGTCATCTGCCCTCGGGACACCAAAGATGCTGGCCCTGTTAGAACCAGTCACCTTTACTGGGAGCCAGGTACAATTTCATTGAGTATCTGGGGAAAACATCACCAAGAGCAAAATTTATCTGCTCTGTGATTTTTAGATAACGTTGAGAGACCAGGAGTCTTCTCAAGGACAGCGTTTATAAAAATAGAAGCCCCACCCAAAAACTAACTATGCTAGTCACGCAGCTCTTACATCTACAAACTTGTCACACGTGTGGCAGGCAGGTGGCAGCTTTGGGGGAACGGCAGATGAATAAGGCCTGCCCCCGCCCTGTGGCAGCCAAGTTTAGGGAGGACAGAGACTTGTATTGTGGTCACGATGTGAGCCGACCACAGAGGGTGGCAGCCTGCCCTGTGCTGGCAGAGGCCACTGGGCCCTCACAGGCTGCTCTGGACCTCAGGAAAGCCCTGGAGACATACTAACTGGGTGACTCCTGACGGACGAACAGGGGCTGGGCGAGGGCGTGTTCCAGTGGCGGGAACAGCATGTGTAGACTCAGAGGCAAGGAAGCATGCCTTATTTATTCTTCAAGAGAACAGAACTTCGATCCCCCGGCTGGAGAGGATGCCATGAAAAGAAGGTGTAGATGAAAATTCATGGCTCTGTAGCAGTCCAGGCAAGAGCTGATGGCACCTGGCTTATGCTGGGGACTGGGGAGCTGTGGAACAATGGATGGGCTCAAGATGCGTGGCAGAGGTGGAGTCCTGGGAGGTGGGAATGGATGGGAGAGGAACAGTGGGGACGGGAATGGCTCATTTTTTTGTGACGGCGAGCAAGTTTATAGGCGGGTAGTGCCGGTTTGGAGATGAAAGCAGAAGCCGAGCTCAGTTTCCAACATGATGCACTTGAGATGCCCATCGGCTCCCTCAGATAAGGTGCCCTGGCTGAGGGAGCGCGGCTGCGTGGTGGGGCAAGAGGTTTAGGAAAAGCCCATGAGCGCACCAGCGTCCCGTGTGGTGCGGGGAGGTGAGGCGCGAGGCGTGGACTGAGCCTGGAGCCAGGGCCAGGTGCGGCTGCCCGGCAACTGTTGGGGGCTCTGGGCTTCGTTTCAAGGAGGCCACCCCTAGGCCACCAGCCCCCACCACAGTGTCTCGGGCCAGAGCCGGCGCTTCCTGGACCACTGGACTGCGATGTAGACATCGCAGGGAACTGCTCAGGCAGTGGGTAGTCAGAGACTGCGTTTCTGTGCTGACCACCTGGACAGAACTAGTCCAGCTGAGCATGTGGTCATGACCAAGAGTAGGCAGAGATGGCCAAGTTCCAAGTCTGACCAGCAGCCATTCCAATGATTGATCCAAACTTCCCTGATCGTCAATCACTGGGTGCAGGAAGGACCACGTGACAAGCTTCAGTCCCAGGTGACTCACAGGTTTCTCTGGGATTCGTCTCATTCACAAAAGTCAGAGATTTCTGGTTTCTCAGGGAACTTTGGTGAGTCATTATCTGAGACAACACCTGGCAACACCCTCCCCAGTGGGGCCCCAACAAGGGGTTCTTGGCTTCTTACCTGGTCCTTACCTGGCTCCTTACCTGGTAACTGCAACAGGCACCTCTTGAGTATTCTGGTTTGGCCACAGGTGAGACAACTCAGGTTTCCCCTGGTGAGAAGGAGCTGCGCAAAGGAGACACATGATTTAATTAGTTGCAAGAGAAAAATGAGTAATACCATCAGCATCTACTGAAGCTCTAGAATTCCCCCCAATACACTCTGATCATTGGCGTGATCGTCAGTGCTTGCCGAAGCTGTAGCAGGGTATCTCCCACTCCCTGGCTCCTGAAACCACCCTCTCCAAGACCGTCAGATTTGCTCAGCGGCTTTTAGCTTCATGCACCGTTCGTGTTTTCTACCAGTGTTTATCTCACACACCTCGACGGGGCAGGTATTCTGCTGGAATCTGGAGAGACGATGGAAAACTAGAGGTGGTCCTGGCATTGTAAGTAAACAAACAGAAATAAGCACAAGGGCAGACCAGCTAGAAGACTACAGGCAGCGGCAGGCAGGAGAGGAAAATAAAGCACTCTCTGGGTAGGAAGTGACCACGTGGCCGGCAAGACTGTGGAGGAGGCCGTTTGAGAGATGAGAGCGAGCTGAGCTCACGAGGGGAGGGAGGCAGCGTGCAGGACGCGAGGATCGGCGGCCGCCTTAGAAGCCGACACCCTCTCCCTGCAGAGCTGGGAGTGGAGGCGGCCGCGTTCCTGGAAACTTGCATCCGACAGACACAAGCGAGTTGAACCTAAGAGCTACGCTGGGTGATTTAGGGCAAGGGGTTCCTAGTGCGGGCCCAGGCACCCAGCTTTTCACACCCCTCGTGTGATCAGGCACAGAGCCCCCCCAGGTCCTGAGGTTGACCAGCACTTCCCATCAGGCCTGCGCTTGCTCACTTTCCCCTCTGGCCTGCGGGTTTTGAGAAGTCCGGCCAGCCGCCCGCGGGGCCTGTGGTCATTACACATGTCGCTGATGTCTCCGCCCTTTATTTCCTCTTCATCATGGACAGACTTAATTTAAGCAGCCATCCAGAATCACCAAGGGCAGGTAATAACCCTGGAATATGAAACCCCATAAAACACTCTCCAGTGGTGAGTCTGAGTAATAGAATTAAGGAAGCGTAGCGACGGTGACGTGTCTTCCTATGGTCATTGTGCTGTGCTCTGCCCAAGGTTGACCACAAAGTGGTCACCTCTGATGGAATGGCGGTGTGATAGGCCGTGACGGGCCGTAAAGTCACTTCACGCCTCCCACAGCCACCCAGCACTGCCAAGGTCAGTCACTGTCAATGCCCCCGAGGCCTGCCGGGGCAGCACCCACCATCTGGACAGGGCTGAGCTCTAACAGGCAGAAGGACACTACCGGTGAGGCTTCGGGGTGACTGACACTGCCCCGTTCGTCCACCCGAGGCTCTGGGGAACCCGTCGGCTTGGGGCGGGCCTGTCAACAATGTCCTCACTCTAAAGGCGACTCGCTGGGAGTGCCACTTGCTGAAGGTCACCCTGTGACTGGTGTCGGGGGCCTTGTTGCTGTGCCATGTTGGCTCTTAGGCCTTGGCTGTGGACGGCGGTCATTGTTCCTAAGAGCAAGTGACCCTTTCGATAGGGTTGTCCTGGCTGCAGAGGTGGGCATGTCGCTGGCTGGTGCGTGTCCCCTGGCAGCATGCACATCTGTCCGGGCAGTGCCAGGGCCGGGGCGTGTGTGCGCGTGCGCGCTGAGGGCGACGCAGCAGCTGGAGAGACGGGACCGTGCCGTACCCCGGCCAGCTGCGGCCTCCCAGATGGCCGGTGACCGCCTGCCTCCTTGTCAGGGGCAGCGGCGCCGCCCACTGAGATCAGAGGGCCATTGAATCAACCCTGCGGCGCGTGACCCGTCTGGGCCGCTGCAGCGAGCACCTGCTCTCTGGTCCTCACACCCCCGCTCAGACGCAGTAACCTGCCTAAGGAAAACATGGCTGACACCGACGGAGACAGGATTCAACCCAGTGGCGTGAGGGTGAGAGGGCGGACGTAAGTAGTTTACCTTTCTCTGCTCTGAGGACCTGCATGGAAAAAAAAAAAAATTGTACATATATTGTTCATTGACTCAGTGATTGCGAATGTCACCTTGGGTGTGATTCGGAGTAACTGGTTCGTGGAGCTTGGGCAGGGTGGGTTTTTTAAGACATCTGCAAATCACTTCCTAAGAGACGGAAACGCCCCCACTTTCCGTTTTCACGTGTGATGTTTCCGGCGGGCACACAGCCTGCTGTGTGATTGTAAACTGCTTTGACTCTCGGAAGCAGCTTGACCACAGCCGCAAGGGGCCTGGAAGTCCGTATCCCATTCCGAAAGGGAATGCAAAGGTCTGCGATGTGGATGAAGTTCGTGTACGAGGGTGTCAAGCACCTCATGGCTTACCCTGCTGGAGCGTTGCCAGTGTCTCAGTGGGAACCTGAAAGCCAGGCCTGGCGCTGGACTCGGGCACGGGGATGCCAAGACGACACTGTAAGCTCTGAGGCGGAGTGAGGGACAGGCTGCCAGGGCGTAGGAGTCGTTGCAGGAAAAGTTCCCGCTGATGGGCAGGCTCCAGACCTGTTTGCATGCAGGTGTGTGTGGGGTCACGTGTGTGGGGGTCACGTGTGTGTGGGGTCACGTGTGTGGTCACATGTGTGTGGGGTCACATGTGTGTGTGTGTGCACGTGTAGAGGGAGGATCTGAAGAGTTGCCATACGATAGTCACAGAGATTTATTTAAATGATAAGGCTAGGATTAATTTTCTTTCTTTATGTCTATCCTGAAACTTTTAAAGAATGGAAGGAAACATACCTACATGGTTCTGATGGAATGCACCCATTTACCTCCCCAAACAGTGCCTTTCTGTTTTTTTCCTTAATAGTGGTGGAATTCCTGATCACCCTTCCTTAGGAAAATCTGCCCACTCCCTGGACTTGTATCCCTGCACTCAGCTCTGCTCTCGAAGAACTGACAGAGGTGCAGGATTCCGGAAGGGCTGGCCTGGCTGCTGAGGGCTTCCTGCAGCGCTGCGCCCCTGTGAGCGGGGAGGGCCCCAGAGCCACCCAGGCCAGCGCCTCTTCCCCTGGAGGAGGGAGGCGCCCTCTAGAGGGCCCCCACCTGGCTGACGTGAGACCTAGATGTCTGCCCGGGGTGTGAGCGTGGGGGGGGGGCGGCCCCCCCCCCCCCCCCCCCGCAGGCAGGCGCTGGCAGGGGGCGCTAGTGTGGTGGCAGAGGAAGATCTGGCTTTGCATTTCCTCACCCGTAACAGAAGAGTCATAACCCCTGGGAGTCGGGTGGTGACGACTGAGGCGCCAAAGGCCTTGAAGCAACCAGTATCTAGCCCTTCGCGGACACGTCACCCACAAAATTTCCCTCCTTTGTTTCCAAGGATGAGACTGCTACTTACCGCACTTAAGTTCTTTAGGTTGATCTGTCTGCAAGGCAAAGAAATACAGCGTGACATAAAACACAGTTCATAACGATGGAGATAAAATCATCCTGCGCTCTTAAAGACCTTTGGCTAGGTTTTCATGGCCAAATTAACAGTCTGAGGTCCACTGTGGCGTTTATCACTGTCCTATAAAACAAAGGCAGGTTATTTTTCTTCATAATTTTATAAGCAGGAGAGGTTATGACCCAATATAAAAGGCGGGGACGGGAAGGCGTGAATGACCTGGCGGCTCATTTTAGGAGAATTTGAATAAGTCGCCGCCCAGACCTCTGCTCCACGTTCGGCTTCACGGGCCCCGGCCCTGCCGCCTCGGGTTCTGGGCGCTCCGCGTTCTGCACGGCACGGTGTGAAGAGCGTTCCTGCGAGCTGTCAGGTCTCGGGGGCCCAGGAGGGCATCGGCGAGAGGAAGGAGCTCGCTCGCAACAGGGGACAGGAGACCCCCGGCACGGAGCCGGTACGCCGGGTCTCTGGGATGACCCCCGCGTGTCTCCGGGGGCCCAAGCCTGCGCTTCTGTGCACAAGCGTGTGTAGCGCCCACGCCTCACGTTCACGTCCTAGATGGTGAGGCAGGGGCGAGGGGGCTGGTGCTGGGTGGGGCTGTGGGGGATGTGGCCGAAGGCCAGGAGGCACGGGGGTGTGGGGGTGACAGGTGCATCTGTCTGCGGGTGAGAAGACAGACGGGGACAAGGAAACATGGAGACATTAATGAACCCCAGTTTCGGTGGGAGGTGTTGGTGTCCCTGCGAAGCTCCACGTGCACCCACGGGAGGGTCCCGGGCCTGCGGCTCCACCCTGGTCTGGGGTCTTGAGGGAGGAGGCCACTGAGAGCCTTTCGTTGGTCCACCCCAGCTAAGACATCTGCGCCCTGCCTGCCTTTGGCTGGGGCAGGAAGAAGACCAGGACAGATGCCCCTGGCCTTAATTACCCGGGGGCAAATGGCGGCTACGCTCAGTGTCCTCACTGCTCAAAACCAGGCGAAACATCATCCAACAGGGGATTCCGGAACAGTGGCACGCAGGCTCAGAATTCCGCCCCCGCCAGCCCAGCTCTGCCTGGCTCTGCGTGGCCGGGGGGTCATCTGAGCACTGTCCATGACTGCAGGGCTCCCACCAGCGGTGGTTTCGTGAGGCCGAGACTTAGCAGGCCGCGGACGCTTCCGGGGCAGCTGGGGCCCGCTGCCAGGCGCCCACCGCCTGCAGCCCGCGGCCCTTCTCCCCGGTTACCGGGAGGAGCGTCACAGCGGCTGCCCGAGCCCCCAGACCCTGCTCGCCGAGGTCCGGGCTGCCCGAGCCCCCTTTGGCTTTTAGACAAAATGTCCCCGTGCCATTCTGACGTCCGCATGTTCTCAGATAGCCGGTGGGGCTCCAGTGAGCCTCCCTCCCATACCCAGTTAGACGAAACAGCCGAGCACCCCGTTACGAGGACGTCCCCGTCAGGCTTCTG